CACCCCAGGACCCTTCTCCTTCCACCTGGGCGCTCAGTGGATGCCATCCCTCGGCCCTGGCTCTCACCCCTGCAGACCCCTCTGAGCCCAGCCTGTCCTTCATAAGAGCAAGGCCTCATGTTAGATGGGTGGGGCTTCTGCACCTTCCCTTTGTGGTCAAAATGGTGATAGTCATACTAATAACCATCATGTAGTGACCACTATCTATTTACACGTCACAGTGCTAAGTATTCGACGAGCACGGTTTCATCTGAGTCTCGCGACTTTAGGCACTGCATATTATCACCATCGCCACTTTACAACTGAGGAAAGTGAGTCTTAAAACGGGATTCCTAAAGCCAACCAGTTCCCAAAGTCAGCAGGCAGTCAGGGCCCTGCGGGCGGCCCCGGGAACTGGCCGACAGATGCAGAGCCTTTGCAAGATTCTGATGGAGAAGTCAAGCCAAATTATTTCGACTCATTTTGTAGACAATTAAAGGCTGCTTAGTAACCGTTCCGTAATTGCGTCATTAAGGGGAACTACCATTTGGTTTTCATAAAGGAAAATGAGCTCATTGCTAGAGTTTATCGCATACTCTAATCCAATATTTTACCGAGAGGTGGGTGGCTTGGTGATGCTGTATCAGTTCCACGGTCGCCAGGCATGTGCAGAGCTTGAAGACCCATAATTTTCACAACTCTCCAGTCAGGCGTCACTGCCTTTGTCTTGAATTTACACTCAAACCTATTGCTGTTTACTTGCTCTTACATGATATTTCAGCTTTACGGCTATTTATATTATTGGTTGTGGGCTCTTCTCTAAACCCTATAGAGCAGCGGTTCTCACCCTGTGGGTTGCGACCCCTTTGGGGGTTGAACGACCCTTTCACAGGGGTCGCCTAAGACCATCGGAAAACACATATATAATTACATATTGTTTTTGTGATTAATCACTATGCTTTAATTATGTTCAATTTGTAACAATGAAATTGGGGGCCACCACAACATGAGGAACTGTATTAAAGGGTCGCAGATATAGGTAGATACATTGTTATTAACTTAATTAGGGTGCTCCTACGGCTTCAGAAGAGCCACATTCAAGGGGCCAAAGAGCCACATGTGGCTCGCGAGCCGCTGTTTGCCGACCACTGGGTTAAACCATATGAAACTGACTCCAGTCAACCCTTCTTGACCTACAAAAATGACAGTTTCGTGTGGTTCATCCTAATAGTTCAAATGTAAATTCTTACCTCATTTGTGCTAGAAATTGTGTGTATAATACCCTCCAAAAATGTAGGTACTGTACCACTTCACAGTACCTATGAATTTGTGTTTTAAATAATTTGTAACATACTATTATTATAAGTTACTATAAGGAAATTGCTATTATTTTAAGTTTGCAATTTTTTTCTATGAGTTGTTTATGTTTCTCTCTCGTGCTTCAGCATCACCCGATTCCTTTTCACTGTGCAGTGGGGATGGATAGGACATGTGGACCTTGGGGCTTTTGTGCTACCTAGACAGACGCTGGTCAAAAAACGTAAAAAGCACAGCTTTTGGGGCGAAGGAGGTTTTCCAAGCTCCATAACTAGTAAGTGTGGATTCAGGATTCAGATGGAAGTCAGCTTGCCTCGCTGACTGAGGAAATGATGCCTATTTTCGTAAATGACATCAGTTATACCTCTGTAGCCTCCTGAACAAATAAACAAAAAACAAACAAACAAAAAAAACAGGCTTCCATGATATCTCTATAGGGAAATTAGGTTACCACCATTTATTGAGTGCCAGTCACTCTGCTTGGTATGTTAGGTCAAACCTCATTTAATACCACCACAAGCCTTGGGAGGTTGGTGTTATCAATTCGTCCTGGTGGGAAACAAGTTCACAGTCTTGAGTCTAACTCAGTGTTGCAGAACAGGTGGTGAGCACAGGAAGCAAACTTCAAAACCCATTTGAATGCTCACCACCTGCCTTTTCTTGTTCCTCCCTCCCCCTTCCCTCTGGAACCTGTTTCTCTACCATTTTCACTATTAACCCTTGAACACTCTCTCCCATGGACAAATGCAGCAGCCACCTGGACTCCACCCTATCTCCATCCCTACCTACCCCCCACATGAACTCCAACTTGCTCCACAATTCTATGTGTAGATCTGATCACAACCCACCTCTTCCATGGCCCCGCGGTGCTGGTGAGGTAGAAGGCATTTCCCAGTCCAGCCTTTCAGCTGTGGGGAGGGTCTGCTGTTCCATGCCGTGACCACTTCCTGTCCCACAAGCTGGGTCCGGGCCAAAGGGAGGTTGCTTTCCACAAACCTCCCTGCGAGACTATCTGGTCATAGTTCACTCTAATACACATCAGCCCCGCTCCACTGCCTCCTGCTATGTGCTGGTTCCTGGAGCTGGTTGTGGTCCTGACCTGGTCAAGCATGTAATTTCCAGTACCTGGTAGAAACCTCATATGGTCCCTGTGACTGTCCCCCTTTTACTCTATATTCTTCTTTGGTGCCCGCCAAGGGGCACAAGGATCCAATTGGCCTTGCAGCCACCCAACACATGCCTCCTGTAAATTTCCCTTTAAAAAGTCTATTCATTACCAGATGAGTGGCCAACCTCTTTCTTCAGTCCTTCCCTCCTCTCTGCTTACAGATGTGGATTTGCAGATGCAGAAACTTTCCCTGGGTCTGTGTGTGCTAGCACCCACCTACCTTCCTGACCATCTCTGCCAACACTCCCTATCCCCAGCCCCCACCCCAATGACCCCTCCAGCCCTTCCCATTTCCTCTAACACTCATGACCTTTCTAACCCAACTCCTGAGCCTCCTTGCACTTGCTACTCAGGGCCCCTAGAGGGACTTTTTTTTTTTTTACTACCTGCCATTTCTCCACCTGGCAAATTCTCCTTCCTTCAAGGCCCAATTCAAAGGTCGCCGCCTGTTGGAGAGTCATCCCAGACTCTCCTTGGTAGTTCATAGCTCCTTTATGTCCACAGGACTTTGCACACATTTTTAATTAGACAGACAGTTTCTGTTGAATGATAGAATGTTGAATATTGTTGTTGAAATGTCTAATCTATCTTTCCCACTTGATAATGAGCGCCTGGAGGATAAAGATCATGTTGTATTTTCTTTGGATTGCCAGCTCTCAGAAAGCGCTTGGCACAAGGTCAGTACTCAATAAATATTCATTAATGTGCAAATACCCCCGTAGTCTCTGGTGCACAGAGAGCATACTGAGAAGCTGTTCGGTACAGCGGATTGAAATGGAACCTAGAGGAGGGATGACTGATTCCAGTCTGGGCTCGTCTACCAGCTGGCTGTGTCACCAGGGACAGCACTGATCTGGGTCTCAGTCCCCTCACTTGTAAGGGGGTGGGGGGCGGACATCTGAGTGTCCTTTCAGGGCTCACATCCGATGATGTGAAGGATTTGACAGCTCATCTCTAAAACTATCTTTTTTTCTCACCCAAAGGAAAAGACGCTGGAGGTCTTCTAAGGAGAGTCATGGCACACACTCTGGAGCCTCTATCCCAGATGCCCGTCATCAAGTTCAAGGGCCAGGACTTTAAGACCCTGCGGGATCGTTGCCTACGCAGAGGCCTCCTGTTTGAGGATGAGACCTTCCCTGCCGAGATTTCTTCCATAGGCCCGTTGCTGCTCCAGGGAAAACACCTCTCCAGGCTGCAATGGGAGCGCCCAAAGGTGAGTGAGCCCCCCAGGCACACACCCACCTCCTGGGCCCTCTGAGCCAGCCCACCATGGCCCCTCCCATGGCCCCTCAGGACCCCTGAGTTCTAACCCAGCCCTAACACTGAGCCCATCACTAGATGACCTGCCTCAGTATTCTCACCTGGAAAATGAGAAGACATAGGTGTGACGAGTGTCTCTGAGGTCTCTTCCGTCTCCATAATGGAGCCTGTCATCACTCTTTATTCTCTTTAGGTATGACTGTCTTTATCTCCTGTTCCTTTTTATCGGTTAGAGTTTACTCAAAGGGAAGCTACCATGTCAGCCACTTGTACAATAGGATGAATTTAAATAATTGGCTCACCCCTCTCACTTTTATTTGTATTTTCAATCTTGCAAAGACCTGATCACCTACAAAGGAATTTTAGACATCAGCGGGAACATTAGGAAGCTATTTCAGGGCAACATTCCAAGTCCTCTGAGTCCCCCACCCCAGCAGATGGCCACTAACTCCACCTTGCAGCAAGGAGAGCCTTGCTGGTTTTTCCAGAACCATCTCAGTTTCAGGGCGTGAGGCTCCAGAGGACATTGCTCAGCCAACTTAAGGTTTTCATAATCTCATCAGGGCCACTGTTGATGACAAAGGCCCAGGTCACGGTCACTGTGAGTGCCCTGGTGCTCAAAGCTTCTGTTTGTGCTTCCAAAAGCAGCCAGTGGAACCTAAAACAAGGGACAATGCTATCGTGTCTAGTAAGCTAACAATGATAACATCAGCAAGTATAACTGAGCACATATTAAATGCCATGCACTCTACCCAGCACTTTCAGTAATGTCACAAAAGGGCATTTTCTGGTGACACAGAACAAGACACGGAGCTCTGGGGGTGCCAACTCAGGACAGACTTGAAGCCTCAGGGAAGGGGGAGATTAGTGGGTATCAGGTGGGGGCTTGGATCTGCTTAAAGCAAGATGGGGTGCTCCAGCCTTCTAGGACCCATCTTCCCAGCCAGCAGCAACAAGTCCCTACAATGACTCTCTTCTTCAGGCCTTCCCCTCCTAAGGAGGGCTGACCAGGGAACTCTGTTTAACATTTGGAAGGGTTAAATATTGTTTTGTCTGGGTTATTTTCAGAGGCTGAGATTCTTTTTGAAGGTGTTTCCTTTTTTCATGCGGTGCTGGGAATAGATGTGAGACCACATTTATAGTGTTTAAGAATTTATAACATCTATTTAGAAAGGGTTGAGAATTTCTCGTCCTCTTAATTCCAGCAGTATCTCAACTTGTGATGTCTTTGGGGGTCAAGGAGAAACGTAGGCAAACAAAAGTGAAATAACTTACACAGAATCATGCCAGGGAACACAGACAATAGGGTGGCAAAGGCCTGGGCGGGAGTGGAGGCTGGTTAGAAGGGGTCAGTGGGGGATAAAGGGGACATATGTAATACTTTCAACAATAAAGATTAAAAAAAAAAAAGAATCATTCCAGGAACCCAGGATAGAGGCACCAGGGGCCAAGTGCAGTCTATTCCCATTCTTCTACCAGGGGCTCATCTTTTCCATTCTAGCACTTCTTTTAAAATGTATATGTGAATATGTAAAAAAAAAGAATCATTCCAGGAACCCAGGATAGAGGCACCAGGGGCCAAGTGCAGTCTATTCCCATTCCTCTTCTACCAGGGGCTCATCTTTTCCATTCCAGCACTTCTTTTAAAATGTATATGTGAATATGTCAGCTATCTTTGTGTTTCTTATCGCAACTGGCCATATAGTACTTCCCAGAGCTTTCCATGTGTCTTACTTTGTCTCCTTTGTTCTTCTTTATTTCATGGATAATAATAAAAAAATCCCATTTATCAAGTTTGTACATGTGCTACATATTAATCTAAACACTTTACATATCACATTTTATTTCATTGCCACGGTAGCCCCGTGAGTCAACGTTACCAACCCTGTTCAGTAGGTCGGCACTGCCCAATAGAACTTTCTGTGAGGATGGGAAGGTTCATTCTGTGCCGTTCATTACGGCAGCCACTGGTCACATGTGGCTGTTCAGCACTTGGAATGTGGGTTGTGTGACTGAAGTTCTGAAGTTTTCGTTTTATTCTGTTGAAGTGAATTTAATTTAATATACCTTATTGGAGAGCACAGCAGAGTCACCAGTGCATGTCAGGTTGAGGGATTAAAATTTCACCACTATCCCCATTCTTTAGTGAAAAACATTTCACTTCTCAACTGAAGAATGGGCTATGGGCCCAAACCACAGTGATGGGCGCTCGGAGCGCAACACCCAGCCCCACTGTGGATTCTGGCCCATGGCCAGCCCAGAATGCAGCACTGCCTGCCCAGGCAGCAACTTTCTTCTTCCCGGGAACCAGAGCAGAGCTTCTGAAAGGATCCTGCACTAGGAACAATTCACCTTGGGACCAAAATGAGTTCTTCCATAAAGTGGAGATATGAGTGTAAGTTGTAAAAGCAACACGTAACAGAAGGTGAGAGAAAGTAAACATGCCAACAGACAGTTGCCATTGAGCGGAAGGACTTTGATGCCAATAAAGCCAATCTTCCAAGAGAAAATAGAAGAGGGAGTGACGCTGCCACCAGGCCCGGCTTGACCTCTGGCCACCCTCTGAAAGCGCCTGTGTCTAAATGCCGGTATGCTAAGCCTGGCGTTCCCTCGTGTGAGAGCAGCACACCGTCTGGGGATGTGCCTGAGCAGCCTTTGAAAAGAATGCAGGAATCACTGTCGAAAATAGGCCCAGGGATGTCCCATTGGAAGAGACCCCACCAGAAACGATGCGGGAGAGTGTGGCTTTGGTGCTGCTCCAGGGAGGGGAGTTTCTCAAACTCCAGGGACTTTTGCGTTCTGTGAGTTTCTGGCATCCCTAATGGAACAGGGGGTGCCCCACACTTTGCATTGAGAACAAGCGCCACAATTCAGAACTAATGTATATCCTGTAGCATATAACTAAGAGGAAATATATCCATATTCCCTATTGGTAGATTTACGCTGAGAAATTGGCTCATGTGGTCACGGAGGCTGAGAAGTCCCACACTCTGCCATCTGCCAGCTGGAGACCCAGCGAAGCCAGTGCCGTAGTTCAGTCTGAGAGGCAAGGCCTGAGAACCAGGCAGCAGATGGTGTAATTCCCCATCCAAGGGCAGGAGAACGCCAATGTGCCAGCTCAGCAGTCAGGCAGAGAAGGGCAGTTCTCCCTTCCTCTGCCTTTTGTTTTATTTTTCTCCGGATTGGGTGAGGCTCATCCACACTGATTCACATGCTAATGTCACCTGGAAACACTCTTCCAGATCCACCTAGAAATGGGGTTTAGCCAAGTACCTGTGACCCAGTCAAGCTGACACAGAAAGTCAACCATGGCAGTTTTCTTCTGCACAAATGGGTGTTCCGGTGCCCTCCAAAGGCCAGTCTGCCTCACAGAATCAGGAAACACCAATCATGAAGCCCCTGCCTGCTGGTGTGGTCCCTGGGGAAGAGCCAGGCACCAGGGAGGCAGATTGCCCAACCCCAGCTGCTTCCTGTGGGCCCTGGAACAAATCTCTGCTTCTCTGCACCTGCTCGCTCGGCCTCGCGGGACTCACCCAAGGAGCTGTCAATCCTGGGCTCTGCCTCTGGGTGACCTGCTGAATCCAAGCTGTAGGAGAGGGGACCTAGTGGTCCCCACGCCCACGAGCCCGTGGTGATTGAGTCACGCCCGGGGTGGATGCTCTGATCCTTGCCAGTGACTTCACTGCCTGTGCTCCTGGTCCAGCTGGAGACAGGGGGACTGCCCGGAGCCAGCGCCTTACCATCCTCCCAGCCATCTTTACCCATTTTCTCTGGGGGCCTTGTCCCAGGAGGTCAGCCCAGCAGATGAGAACACTTCTTAGTCTACTTTTGCCTCTTTCTACCTTTGAGACCCTCCAGCACCCATGGAAGCCCAGGGTGGGGAAGGAACAGACAGCTCAGAGGTCAGGGGACTTAGATGCTGGTCATGTGCCCCAAGTTGATTGATGTTGACTATGGACTTTTTATTGGAAATAATTGCCATTTAGTTTTTATCACATTAAAATATCTTTCTGTTCATAATTAGCTAAAATTTTGGTTTTTTAGTTTTTATTTTTATTACTTGGGCAAATCAGAGAAACTTGTGCATTTATCAAATGCCTTCATGGAAGGATATAAATTGTCTCCTCTTTGGCCCCTGTAAATACTTTTTTCCATCATTGGATATCCTGATATGAAACCACCCTGGCAAATTTCTATGGAAAACCCTACTTGAGGGTGGGTTAGTCTTGTCATTTATGGTAGATTCATTGGCTGGGTATCTTATTTCATGTGTTTCTATGAGTTTAATCAGCCTGGTGTATGTGTGCTTCTGTGTTCTCTCTCTCTCTCTTTCTCTCTCCTCTCTCTCTCTCTCTCTCCTCTCTCTCTCTCTCAGGTTGGGTTGGGCCTCCAGGCTGTGCTGGCTTTTTAGAATAAATGGTGGCAGGATTCTTCTCCCAACCTTTTTTTTAAAACAATGAAACCGTAAGTGACACTGGAATTGTCTAGTCTGTGAAAGTTTGAGACAACTTGGCAGGAAAATCATGTGTACTTAGCAGCCTTTACAGCGATGGTGGGGAGATGTTCTGGGGTCATTTAAAAATACTATTCCAAGGTTATTGATCTTCTTGGGTTATATACTAACTTGAATAATTTGGGGCAATGTTCATTTTCATCAGAAAATCATTAGTACTTTTAAATGGATTAGTATAGAATCTTAATTCATGTTTTAAATTGCTAAAACCCAATTTTTGCTACTTTTATTTGGGTTTCTCTACCACATTTGCCAAAGGTTGGATCTATGTAAGCCTTCTTGCCCAAAAGGAACAATTTACTTGCACTATTGATTTCTCTGTTTTATAATTCACTAATTGTGCCCTTTTATCACTTCTTTCCTCCTATTTTGCCAGGCTCTTTTTGTCTTTTTCTTCCTAACATCTGTGAGTCGACTACTTAATTCATGCTTTTATTCTGTGTTGTTTAATAATGAATGGATTTGAGGTTCTGGGTTTGTCTATGAATATGGCTTTTCAAAGTTTGCAAATACTGCAGACGGAGGGAATCAATATTTATTGAACATATACCCTGCCAGGCGCTGTGCTAAGTATTTCGCTTCCTTCCTCGTGTGGAAAAGGGAAGGGCTCTTGCTTTGCCAGGCCGCTGGGAGGCACCCCGTGGACAAAGCGCCTGGCCCTCCGGAAGGGCTGATAATGGCAGCCGGTGCCTGGGTCACCTTATCATTGGAGTCTCCCATTTTGCACACGAGGAAACGGAGGCTCCGCAAAGGAAGGGAAGTTGCTCAGGGCCACCAGAGAGCAACACAGAGCAGGATTCCACACCAGGTGTGTCTGACCCGACTCTCAAGCACACACACCCCCCCCTCTGCTGATCACTGGGGGGGACCAGGAGAACCAGTGAGGAAGAGGCGCACTGGGGGTGGGTCAGAAAGCTGAGCACCATTGTCTTTGTTCCTGGTCCAGGAGCCCCATTGTTCCTCTTCCCCAGCTCCCATGAGTGGAGGTCTAAACGTCTGCTCCCTGGCAGCGGGCCTCCACTGGGGCCCCACTTCCTTTCCAGCAGGAGCGGGGACAGGTAAAATCCATGAAGTGCCCCCAGTTGCTTTGAAACTGGAAGAGTCGTTCCCTCCGTGCCTCTGCAGAGACCTCTGCCCTGCTTGCTTGTGATAGGAGAGACCCCCACGTTCTGCCCAGCCCTGGGGGCAGCAGAGGGTTGGGCGTGGCGACTCCACCCCAGGGCCTGGGCCCCAGTGCCCCTCTTGCCATCTGAGAGGGCTGGTTACTTGTGGACAGGCGGCAGGAGGAGGTGCAGTGAGTCATGGCCCCTGACACGCCTGCGGGGCCTCCATGTTTGCAGACATGCATACCTTTGCTTGCCCCTTGGCGGCTCCACCAGGAAATGTAGCTTACACAGGGCTGGCAGGTCTCACAAGGCAGGGACTCCGCACATGCATGGCTGTTGAGCAAATGAATCTATTTCCACTTTGCAGCCCTGTTCTCTGGGGACTTATTTGTCAATGTGAAAAGAAATGATACAGGCACAGTTAGCAAATTCCGCAAACGTGTGCGATGGAACTCCCAGAGCTGCGGGGAGAGGATGCAGAGGGTAGTCCCATCCACTCCTAGCAGGGGCAAACCTACAGGCTGGTGGGGCCGGGACAGGAGCCAGACCTTTACCTACTGTTTTCCCCAAGGACCCAGGGAGCCCTTCAGGAACTCTCACCATCATGTCTGCTGCGAGTTCCCAAAATTCTCCCAGACATCGCAGCACTGCCGAATCCTCCAGCCACTCTCTCTGTAGCCAGCAGGTGCTGTGTGTATTGGAGGTTGGGGAAGAACTAGGCTCTGAGTAACAGCACCTGGGATGAGGGGCCTGGATCTTCTAGAATCAGTCAGGGAGCCAACAAAGATCTGAGTAGTGCACATCCTGCATCCTGAACAGCACGTGGTTGCACTTGAACCTGAAGCCCAGAAGGCCCAAGCTGACTTCTAAGAGACAACATTTCACACGAGAAAGTTTTATTATGTTTATAAAAGTTTCCTCTAATAAATGTATCCGATTCTTTTTTTCTCTCATTTATAACCTCTTCATAAAACACTGCCTGTTAGGACCAGGATGGCTGAATACCTGATGCGGGGATCCTGAGACCTTATTGATGTTATCTCCTCATGCAGTTGCTTAGGTATTTATTGCCTGTCTCACAGTTACATATACACCCTGGTGACGGCTGCCTTCCTGATAGCAATAAAACCTGAAGAATGAGGGGAACTTTTAAGCACCTATTTAAGAATTAACCTCTACTTCTCAAAGACAAAGTGAGTGATGTCTTGGGTACCACTCTGGGACATAGAGGGATGAAAGATGCTCATGGCTTTTCTCCCTCTTTCCTAAGGATTTATTGATGGGTAAAGCAGAGCCTCATTTCATCCTGGAAGGTGCGAGCAGATTTGACATCCAGCAAGGGGAGGCAGGTAAGAACGCACCGTCTTCTCTTCCGGCTGTGGATCAGGGCAGGCTGCTCAAAGTCAGCTTCTGGATAGGGAGGTGTGGAGACCCTCAGAACTCTGTCTCAGCTGCTAAGAGGGGAGGCCGGCCCCTCAGTGCTACTGGAGACGGACAGCCCATGTCCAGCCTGCAGCCTGCACGTCAGCTCAGCCATGGGTGTGCAGGGCCATTGCGGTGAGGCATTATCAAAGAAAGGGAGAAAATGGGCACAGGATTTAGTGTGAGCACTGGGTGGAGAGACGCATCCAGAAGATGGGAAGGAGAGAGAGACCGAGAAAGGGAAGCAAGTGTTCATTGAGCTTTTGCAGTGCTGTGCTAGATACTGTGCATGTGCTGTTTCCTTTACACCCGGTAACATCCCCACTCTATACATATATGCAAAACCAAAGGGTCCAAGAGGTGAAATCATGTCTTTCATGTCACATAAACAATAAGTGACAGAGTTGGGTTTGAATCCGAGGCTGTTTGACTCCTTCCCACCCGCCAGACAGCCATGGATCAAAGTTGTTGCTAAGAGGGCTTGCCTTGAAGAAGGCCACTGGGCAGGACCAGGAATGGCTGAGAGAAATCCCTGAGCCAGAAGCCCAGGCTGAGAGAGGAATGTGGACAGGGAATTAGGAGACAGCACAATCAGACTCTCTAAGAACAGACTCTATATCCTTAAAATGCCCGCCTACAAGTTGTGCCTGCACCTGGACTTCCCCTGATGGAATCACAGTGTCTCGGGCTAAGTGGATAGAAGCCTGTGTTTCAGTGTTGGGAAGAGCCCCCAGCAGCTAATATTCCTCCAGTTAGAGCTTCCCCTACGTGAAGATGGGACCTCGCTGAGGGCGTTTCTGTGCCTGACACAGATGGCATTCGAATAATTGATAGCGCTGAAGATAAAGAAGGGGATGATGCTCATGCTCAAAGGGCTCACAGTGGCCTCCAAGGAGAAACTCAAGGCCTCATTGCCCGCAAGGGGGAAGAGGAGAGAACCCCTGTGTGGGCTAGAGGGGTCCTGACACAGGGAGAGGCTGAGCAAGTATTAACAAAGAAAAGCACAAATCTATTTGCTGACAACAGAAGACACTGTCACTTTAGTTCTGAGCACCTCTGGCAAAATGAGAATCAGAAGACAAGTTGGCCCACCAGCCCTGCCAAAGCCTGGCTGGAGCTCTTCTGACCTCCCTCAAACCACCATCACTTCCACCAACACCTCCACCATCAATCACCCCCACCTCACCTCCACAGACACCCTCACCATCACCTCCACAATCAATCACCCCCACCATCACCTCCACATTAATCACCCCCACCTCACCTCCACAGACTCCCTCACCATCACCTCCACTATCAGACACCCTCACCATCCCCGCCACAATCAATCCCCCCCACCTCACCTCCACAGACTCCCTCACCATCACCTCCACTATCAGACACCCTCACCATCCCCGCCACAATCAATCCCCCCCACCTCACCTCCACAGACTCCCTCACCATCACCTCCACTATCAGACACCCTCACCATCCCCGCCACAATCAATCCCCCCCACCTCACCTCCACAGACTCCCTCACCATCACCTCCACTATCAGACACCCTCACCATCCCCGCCACAATCAATCCCCCCCACCTCACCTCCACAGACTCCCTCACCATCACCTCCACTATCAGACACCCTCACCATCCCCGCCACAATCAATCCCCCCCACCTCACCTCCACAGACTCCCTCACCATCACCTCCACTATCAGACACCCTCACCATCCCCGCCACAATCAATCCCCCCCACCTCACCTCCACAGACTCCCTCACCATCACCTCCACATCAATCACCCCTGCCATCACCTGTACCATCAATCACCCCCACCATCACCTCCATCGTTATCATCACCACCAGCTCCTCCTCTGTCTTACTTAGAACTGGCCCTAGTGAATCCTTCCTTCAATTCTCTCTCAGATAGAAAAAAAAATGCATTATTCAGAAGGACATATGTGGGCTCTGGTAACAAAGACCTGCGAAATGCATGAGGTGGGGCTTCCAGTAGGCCTCTCACACTTGGTGTGTGTCCCCTCACAGGAGACTGCTGGTTCCTGGCAGCACTGGGCTCCTTGACACAGAACCCACAGCATCTGCAGAAGATCCTGATGAACCAAAGCTTTTCCCACCAGTATGCAGGCATTTTCTGTTTCTGGGTACGTGCGCTGCTGGGGTGCTCCCACATGGTTTTCTCTGAGCACAGGGAATGACTGTCTTGAATATTCTCTTGTCTTGGCATCCTGAGATGGAACAGGCACTAACTTATGTGTTAGTTACACTGCATAGCTCCAAGAAAGGATGTGAGCTCATGATCTGACAACACTTGGGAAAGATGAGAGTAAAAATGTTCTCATGTAAATTGTTTTTATTTTTGTATTATTTATTCATTTACTTTTGAGAGCACATTTATTAAAGCTGAGGACAGTGAAACAAGGAAGGGCTTAGGATACAAGAAGCAACAGGAGAGATCCTAGGTGGGGCTGCTTTGGCTCACTGAGAAATCAGAGAAAAGGGGCGTTGGGGACAAGTTCAGGGGGTTAATCCAGGACAAGCTGCCACTGCCCATTGCTCCCCTGGTGGCAAGTCTCCTGGGGTCCCTTAGAGGCTAGGAGATGTGTGCCTGTGGGGGAAGAAGAGGAGGAAGGGAGAGGCATGGGCATGCTCCTGAGAGGGTGAAGTGAGCCCTCATGTAATTTTTTTAAAAGGCAGATGCAATCACCAAAAGAAAAAAGGAGTCTTCGATCAAGAACCCTGTACATCATCGAGCTTTTGTCTATATCTAGTTGGTGTCATATCTGGTTATTTTTATCACAGTAGCTTTAGAAATAAGTTGTAACATTTGGTAGGATGATTTCACCTTCATTATTCATTATTCTTTTCTCAGAAATATCTTGCTAATTCTTGCACATTTATTCTTCAATGAGAACTTTAAAATCATTGTGTCTAATTAAAAAGAAAAGCCATTGTGAGGCGAAGTGGAGCAGCATTAAATTTATGTATTAATTTGGAAAAATTACACTTTTATTATGTTAATGATTCATTCCAGAAACATGGTCTATCTTACCATTTATTCAGAACTAGTTTTATACCCTTCAATAAAATGTTATGGTTTTGTTTTCCAATTGGTGCTGTACCCTTCTTGGTAAATGTAGTCTCACATATTTTACAGTTTGTAGCTCATGTGAATGAGATTTTCCCCCTCATTTCTAACTTCTAGATGTTGCTGAAAAGAGAAAAGCCACTCCTTACTAGATATTAAACTCTATCCAGCCACCTGACCATATTCCTTTATTTGTTCTAACCTTTTTCTTTAGTAGACTCTGGATTTTTTAGTTATCTAATATTTTCTGCAAATAAAGATGATTTTGTCTCTTCTTTTAATATTTATAGAAACTATTTACCCTTGTGCCTTGTCTCTTAAGTTAGTACCTGACAGTTTTGAACAAGAGTGACAAGAGCAAAACCCTGCCTTCTCTGGATTTTGGTTATAGAGTTTCCTGGCGCTCTGTTCTTTAAATACACTGTTGGATTTCATTTGTTAAAAATTTGATTAGAATTATTGCATCTATGTAGTATGTAGAATTGGAGTCTAGTGTTTTTTTAAATGTTTGAGTTTTACTAACTTTTTAAAGTGAACCCATTGAGCTTTACATATTTTAATCTGACATAATTTGAATAATGGTGTTATTCATTGGTTATCTTTTGTTTGAATGTAAAATACATAACAGATCCAGTTGATTAAGGCTTTGATTTATATAATTACTTTTAGTTATTTTCATTAATTCCCATTTACTTTCTCTTGGTTAATTTTATTGTGTTTTTGAAATTTTCTGAATCTTCACATTTAATATTCTTAGTCATTTTTTAATCATAAAAACTTTGAGACTAGAAAATTTCCTCTGAGATCTTATTTTTATCTATAGGTTTCAATATAAAATATCTTACTTTTATTAATTTTAATATAATATATTTTTAGTTTTGAGTACATTTTTTAGGGAGGTCATCTTTTGGTTGTAGAGTTTTAGATTTATTAAGTGATGGTAAAAATATAGTCCATAAATCTCTATGTTTGGGGAAATTATTAAAGTTTTATTTATGGTCAAGTCCTTCACATTTTTGTAAATGCTTCATTTGCAGATTATATAATCTATAATCATCTCTTTTATCTTGGCTTATTTTTTGTCTGTGTGATTTGTCAAATTCTAAAAGAGGTGATGAAGTTCCCCAAAGTTAGTTTGGAGAGTTGCTCTTATGCTTTCACATATTCTGGCTTTCTATTCTTCCTGCTATATTCATTAGTGCCTGAAGATTCTTATTATCTGGTTGGTGAAATAAAGCTTACAAATATATCCCTCTTTGTCACATGTAATGCTTTGGGCCTTCGGTTCCTCTTTATGTGATATTCATCCTGCTATTCCAGCTTCCTGCTATTTACATTTCCCTGTTATATCCTTGCTCATCCCTTCATTATCAATTTCATTTTCACTATTTGATGTTTCTTATACAATTTAAACCTTACTTAAACCTTATCACTCACCATTGTTTCTCTCACCCTTCATTTCCTCTTATTGAAGACTTTTGTTCTCATTTCATCGTCATTCGGTAGGAATAGTTCCTTGAATAATTTCCTCAGATGGCATAAGTGTATTTTATTTGCTCTTTCTTAAGAATGATATTGAAATTGGGTTTTGAATTCTTGGATCACATTCCCTTTCCTTAAGACTCTATAAACATTATTCCATTGTCTTATAGAGTCCTATGTTGCAGAAGAAAAAACCCAATGCTAACCTATGCTCTTACTTTGTATGTAACTGGTTCTTTCCGACTACAAGTTAATAAGAGGCTCTTTCTCCCCTGGGTGTTCTGAAATTTCTCTGGAATATGTCCAGATGATGCCTTTTTAAAGTCAATCTTGACTGGAATTCAGCAAACCCTTTCTTTCTGAAGACCTGCTCCTTTTTTGCTCAGCTAAATTTCCCTCCATTTTTTCTGGGCATCCTCCTTTATCCTGTTGTCTCCTCCTGAAGTCCAGTTATTTGCATCCTGGGTCTTCTAACAAGTGCCCAGGTAATGCTGATGCTGCTGGGCCAAGGAGTCCACTGAGGAATGAGCTAGAAGATGCAGGGTTCAGCTGTGTCTGCACTGCCTCAGGGCTGCAAGTGTTGGCTGAGTGATAGGGACAACTTGAGGCCCAGGCAGGACACGCTCTGCATGATCATATCTGATACAGCAGCAGTAAGTTGGTCAACATTACCAGTGTGGGAAGATGGGGTAAGGGTGACTTCTAAGGGGGAAACAACCAGAGGAGCTCCTTCAAGCCAGGACTCGTTCTGCATGACTTACTGTGCTCCAGGCACTGTCTTAGGTGCTGAGTGGAAAGGCTGTTATTGAAAAACAGTTTCCACTTTCAAAATTGCGATCTCACTTTCACAGTCTTATCTGATCCCAATTACAGCCCCAGGAGGCAATTCTTACTCTTACCCCCATTTGACAGATGAGGACACGGAGATACAGAGAATTCAGTGTGTTACCCAATGTCTGTTGCTCAGATAACTAAAGACAAAACCAGGACTCAAGCACATTTCTGCTGTCTGGGTACTGTCTACCACACTTGGCTTTCCCATTAAACCCAAATCCAGATTGGGTTATCCTTCCAGGGCCCTCTTCTAAGAGCTGGGATTCGCTTTCCTTGGCGCTTCAGCCACATTGCACGATCTCCTTCTAATAACATCCCTGCTGGCTCTCGACTTCACCCACCGATGCATCTTCATTGCAATAGGGACACGAATCCACAGCAGTGCCAGAACTGACCGCAATGCCCGGGTTCATTAGTGACCATGAAAACATCTTTGATTTGTCTCCACTGGCACCTCTATCTTGGTCTCCATTTCTGCTTTGAAAGTGCGTTCTCAGGCCCGACATCTGGGACATCCAGCTGTGGAAAGGCCCTGTGGATGGCTTCCTGTTATTGCCACGCAGATGATAGATCGCATCCACCCGGGTTTATGTTGAGCCCACCTGTCGGAGACTTGCCTTCATCAAGGCTCAGGCCTGAAGCCAGAAGCCCTGCTGCTTAGCCAGCACAGGAGAGACCAGAGAAGAGACTCCAAAAGGCCGGCTGTGTTATGGATTTTCCTCATTTGGCGATGTCCTGGGTGAACCATTAAGAGTTGAATGCGGAGGATTAAAGCAGTCTGTTTTGGAGAGGAACATCTGCTTCATTTGTGCTCTTAGCAGTAGCAGCGCCAGCCGGTGTCATTTCTGCTGCTCTGATGGCAGGGCCAGAGCGAGGCGGTAACTGCTCAGTCCTCCTGTGCACTGCTCATCCTGCGGCCCCTGGGCCTTCGCCCACGCTGTCCCTGCCATCTGGGATGCCTTTCCCTCCTCTTCTCCACCTGCCCAGCCCGGCCTCCTCCCGCCAGCCTTCAGCTCCCTGCAGGCTCTCCTTCCCCATGACAGCATCTGTGTCTGCCGTTCTGCTTTGTCATTCAGCATCTGCTTTCCCACTGCCCTTCTGTGCCCGGCTACACCAGGAGAGTCCTGCTCGGAGCTCACAAAGGACTCGCCAAAACGAGGCCAGAGTTAGGAGCAAAGTCAGGCTAGAACCTAAGCCTCCTTCCTCTCTGCTATGCTGTATTCTCCTTGACTAACTTGGTCTGTGACTCATTTTCTCCATCTGCCAGTGGAGATGACATCCCCTGTCCATGATTTGTTCTGGATAGCGTTTATTTTTGCCTTGTGGAGACCATGTGGTGATGGTGGTTATCTTCTGACACAGGTTGCGGGTTGAGGAGCTCCCTTACCCCAATGCTATTGAGCTGTATATTCATCTCTCTTCCAGTTCTGGCAGTGTGGCCAGTGGGCGGAAGTGGTGGTTGATGATCGCCTGCCTGTCCTGAACAGGAAGTACCTCTTTGTGCATCCTCTCAACAACCAAGAGTTTTGGCCGTGCCTGCTGGAGAAGGCCTATGCCAAGTAAGGACGGGCTCGCCCCTCGGCCCAGGGCCTCAATGCTGCCCCGCCCGTGCAGCTGCTGGGCCTGGCAGGTGCTTCCCACCAGCCGGCCCCAGACTGTCGGCAGTTTTGCTGAATGCAAGCGATGCCCCTGGGAGCATCAGAGCCTTTGCACTTAGCTGGGCATCCTCCATAAACATTCACGGTGTGCAAGGCTGCATTGGGCCTTTGGGAGAGACCCAGAGGCACCTAGCAAGGGGTGGGCAGGGCAGGGCTGGACAGAGATATGCACTGGCAATGATATTATTGCGAGGGCTGGTAGAGAGCCCAAATAAAATATAATATCATGGTCATAGTCTGCTGAGAGGACAAAGGAGAGAGAAAACAATTCTGACTTTCAGACTCACAGAGTCAGTCTGAGGCAACACAGAGGAGATGGCATGGAGTGAGGCCTTGAAGGATGGGTAGATTTCAGCAGGGGAAGAAGTATGTGGGGGAGGCATCCCAACAGTGGGAATGATTCCAACAGGGAACCAGGGGAGGGACAGTTCAAAGTGAGGTCGGGTCAGTGGGGGCCTGCTGGGGCTGCTGTGGGATTGCATTTATGTGGGAGGTTGGGGGAGATGTTCAGTATGATATGGTCCAAATACCATGATGCGGTGCTGTCTCCTGGTGTTGACAAGCTCAGGGATTTACAAACACCCCAGTTCACGTTTTGCTTAGATTCTTTTGGGCTACCTTTATTCAACAGAAGTTCATTGAGCATTTAACCATAGGCCGGGCTCTGTGCTTGGCACTGGGTTATAGACTCTCAGACTGGTTCATGTAGGTGTGTGTGCAAGTACCTGTGTCTGTAAGAAGTCATTTTCTAAAGAGCCACACAGGCGAGGGACACATCAGAGCTAGAAATCAACACTAGGAGATGAAAGCCAGGGGACCCTGCCTTTCAGGAGAAAATGGGCAGTGGAGAGTGTTGCCTCATCAGGTTTCCTAAAGGTCATCCTAACCAGCCCCTCATGCCCAGGCTCTGGATGGTGATGTGACCCAGGTGTAAGTAGTTGACCTGAATCTGCTGAGGTCCTCGGTCATGTGACAGAAGACATCATTTAGTAAGACCAAAGACCAGGTCCAATCCCATCCGGGGCCCTCCCTGAGGGGTGGTGACAGCGCAGACTATCCGGCCCCTGACCTTCTGGGGGTCACAAGCTGAACAGCAAGACGTCTTGACACCTCTTTTTTTGCATCCTTCCTTTTGAGCCAACTTGTCAAAAAGGAAAGCAGTTGCTCTCTCCAGTGTAAAGAAGAGCTGTTGGTTAGGATTGGAGACTGAAGCCCAGATCCCAGTCTAGGTTATTGAACCAATTCATGTGCTTAGGAAGTTCATTCACAAACACTGCCATTATCTTTCTAGTATGGAGTCAAGCCTCACCCCTTCGGGGCCTTGTTTCTCCTCATATAAAGGGGGTGATGAGGGGGAGCTGGCAGCTCACAGGGAGAATCAGAAAGCCTGTGGAATGGAATGATGACTCTGACCCCATTTTGTTAACAGCTGACCTAAGGCAGCCAGTCATTCAGCTTGAAAAGAAATAGGCAACTGGACCCTGAATCCACATTCCACTTCCTAAAGAAATATAGCCGAGGACAAAATTCTTCAACTATTAAGCTGTTTCGAAGCTTTCCCTTCCATCCAAAAGGGGAAGTAACAGAATACAGGAGTGAGTCAGGTAGGATCACAGCCCATCAGAGCTGCAGCGCTGCTGTCAGCACCCCCTGGACCTTCTCCTTTGGGATGTGAGGGGACAGGCTCAGAGAGGTGAGATGACTTGCCCAAGGTCACAGGGAGTTTGAGGCCACGCTGGACGGAGAGCTGTTCTCCATCACCACGTGCTTTTCCATCATCCCTTCATGCTGTCAGCCCTTTGGGAAAGGAGTTGTCTTTTTTGCTTCTTTGGTGCTGTGTCTAGCACATGGGGACCACAGCACAGACACAGAGAAGCTATCTGTCCAGATGAGAG